TGTTTAGAATCTAAGTAACTTATTTCTAAATTATTTGTGTGTCAGGAAAAAAATCAAAGCGAAAATTTAGAGGCATTTGGAATGCCATAAAAATAAAATGGTAAAATATCAGATTTTGTGGCATATTGCTAAAAGATTATCTGGGAGAGTTTATAGCACTGAACATCTGTATGAAAAACAGATCTAAGTTCTCCCATGAAAGGCCTCATCTGCTATCTTAATAATGTATAAAAGCAAGAGAAAAGAAGTCATGAATATTAGAGCAGAAATCAGTGAAATAATAAATAGCAAAACAGTCTGTATGAACCCCATACTGATTCCCTAAAGAAGACAACAGAACTGAAGAACTTGCAAAAGAAAAGACCAGCAGAATTTGCCATTATCAAGAATGAAAGAATGATATCACTGCAGTTTTTAATGGACGTTAAAAAGATGTTAAGGACATATTACAAATAAATTTATCTTAGCATATTTGACAACATGGATGAAACAGGCACATTGCCAAATCCTGTAGAATAATTAGAATAATATTAATAAAGGAATTCAACTTGTGGTTAAAGCAACTGTAATAAAACAATAGAAAAAAAACCCCAGATTTGTATTTATGAAAAATATACAGCTGATATCATAGTGAATTAATATGTTAATGATAACTTGATATAGTTATTGAGTGCTTTCCCCAAAAGATCAATGAAAAGCAAAGATATTTACTCTGCCTACTTTTCTTCAGCACTACTGCGGAGGTGTCAGAAAGTGTAGGCAGGAAACGGAAGTGGAAATATCAAGTAAACATATTTTGATTCATGGAGAACATCTATAAATGAAATCCAGTGGAACCTGCAAAAATTAATAGAATTAAAATTGAGTTTGACTAAGTTGTAGATTGTAAGATCAATGTGCCAAAATTTAGTATATTTAAATGAAACAGTGAGACAACTGGAAATTGAAATAAATATGTTTTATTTCTTTGCTTTGTTTCTCTGGAAAATCCAAATGGCCAAACTGTGTCATGATGACCGTTGATCATTAGATTCTTTTGTTAAATTCTCAATTTAACATGCATGTTGCCATGCATTGTATAAATTGAAGCCACCTTTTTGAAAGCCACAATAAGTAATAATCTACAAATAAAATGATCTCAATTGATAAAAGTAAGTTATTTCCTGTTATGTGGTAGTGTGGTACAACCCTCAGACTATTTTTATTGCTATTTTGAATATTTCCTTCAAGTGTTTTCAAATTCCCCAAAGATATTTACCTTTTGTGTTTTAGGAAAAAAAAAAAACATTTAAGTGTCCACAGATCTATAAAGTCAAATTTTTTCTTAAAGTATAGCCAGTGTTCTTCAAACTTTTGATTTTTTATAATATATATGAGAAAGTACTTAAGACATGTTTTGGGGGAATGGAATAAAAATGTTTATTTTAGTATAAAAATAGTTGAAATTCAAGCACAGTTTCTTCATAATATGCATTTCCATGGACCTTTTGAAGATTCCTTGAAAGCATGGAGTTCAAGATTTTTCTCGCTTCGGGCCCGGCGCGGTGGCGCAAGTGGTTAAGTCCTCGCCTTGCACGCCCGGGATCCCATATGGGCGCCGGTTCTAATCCCGGCAGCCCTGCTTCCCTTCCAGCTCCCTGCCTGTGGCCTGGGAAAGCAGTCGAGGACGGCCCAAAGCTTTGGGACCCTGCACCCGCGTGGGAGACCCGGAAGAGGCTCCTGGCTTCGGATCGGCATAGTATCGACCCGTTGCGGCTCACTTGGGGAGTGAATCATCGGATGGAAGATCTTCCTCTCTGTATCTCCTCTCTGTATATCCGCCTTTCCAATGAAAAAATAATAAAAATAAATCTTTAAAAAAAAAGATTTTTCTCGCTTCAAAATCAACTTATTTTTTAAGTTCCATTTTCCATACACTTTTAAAAAACATTCACATACCTAAAAATATGGACTAATGAGTAGGAAAGCATATTTATCATATTTACCAAGGACTGTAACCGGTTATGACTACACATTCTTTCTGAAATATGCCACTGAATATTATTGGGTAACAGTTGAATAAGTAAAATTTTGAATTTCCCAACAAGGTTGGTGGAGCTCCCTGTACAAATCACCTTAAGGTGAGGACTTGCTTGCTTTCAAACTTATTTTCTGGAATATCACTTGGTTTACGTAATGCATTTATGCCTAGTTATCTATTAATATGCTAAATGATGTCTCAGCCTTAGAAGCATATGGAATGATGAACACAGCTTTTCTCATACAGCAATAGCTGCAAGCTACATGGATTGGATTGTGCCTGAGTTTTCCTTTGTGTTCTTGGTTCATTTCCTGCGCAGGTTAGCCTTACCCTCCGATTTTGAATATCAATATTTCCTCCTTGTAATGTAGACCTTACTGTAGTGGTTTTGTCTTAAGCAGTACTGTCTCTATATTGAACCCTAACATTTAATTTGTGCAAGACTAAGTTTCGTTTTTCATTTTCTTAGCTTCTAAGTTTTAAGTCAGGAAATCCTTGGAAAGTTGTTCTGTAATGAAAATCTACGTTCCCTACACAGTACTATTGGGGAATCTGGGTGGTTTCCAATTTTATAATTGGAGATGTTCCTCTCTTTCAACTTATAACATTTTTGGTCAGATTTATAAGACATTTAGCAAATATATTCCACTATTACTCAATTCTTGTAATAATCATTAAAGCACCTCAAACAGAGTTTTGGAAATTCAAATGCTATTCTTGGGTATCTCCTACGGATGTTGGCAGATGACATGGTTCTCTATGTATGAGACCCAAAAGATTCAGTCAACAGGCTATTGGAACTCATAAGAGATTTTGGCAGGGCAGCAGGATACAAAATTAATGAACATAAATCAATGGCATTAGCATACACAAATAACACCATGGCTGAGAAAGGAGTTGGAAGTACAGTTCCCTTTAAAGTAATAGAGAAAACTCTTAAATACCTTGGAATTGACCTTATCAAAGATGTGGAAGAGGAAAGGAGGAGATAAGGGAGCAGCTTATCCAGCCTCCCAAACCATCCCAGTATCCAGGTGTGGGAATAGCCACCTGATATCCACCCAGGATCCTTGATGTGATGCATGCTCCAGGAATTCTGTCCAAGTGGTTTCGATAGTTTTGAAATGCTGTCTGTCTCGTAGATCCAAGGGTGGGGCACCCCTTCCAATGTCTATTTGCTGACATAGTCGAACTTTAAGTTTCCATTCACCCAGATATTGCAGTCTTCATTTTGCTGGATAGTTGTTCAGTTTATTCTGTCCTCCTTTCTCTGCTGTGGTACCAATTGTCCTCTGCAGGCCCCAGTAGGCTGCATTATTCTTCATAAGTATCTGGGGCAGACATTCACTGCTCCAACTTCTCTACTGAGGAGGTCCAGCTCTGACACATGAACTCCACAGTCATACCAATCTGGAATGTGTGACCCCAGCCCCCCTTCCAACTGTGCTATCGCCAGGTCTCTATGTTTCCACAAGCATGCCCCTGGGTGGCTAAGGAGCTTTTCCTGGTGCCTTTGGCATTCTGGGCCACCCAGCCAGGGCCCTGCAAGCTGGCAGCCACCACAACCAGACTGGCATGGCTTGTCTCACCTCACCATCCACCAGCAGGTGCTTCAGCCGTGCTTGGGCCAGCCTGCCCCCTGTTTTAGATGCTGCTGGTGGGTGCTACAGCAAAGCCCAGTGCAGCCAACCCCCAGTTCCAGCCCTAATATGATCTGGCTGGTGTTGTAGCCAAATCTGGCTGTCCTGCAACCCATCCTGGTTCTCAGATTTGCTAGTGGGTGTTATGAACTGGTCAAGTCTAGCCTGTTTCCAGACCTGATCCACATGTCTGCCAGTGGACACTGTAACTTGACATGGTCTGGGCTGCTCTCAGCCTTGGTTCTTGTGCTCACTTGCAGAGACTTCCTCCTCACAAAGGAATTCTCCAAGCTCCTCTATCATGCCTCCTCCCAGTGGCAGATCTTGCGCACACTGGTGGGTCCTTGGCCGAAGTTGACTCAGATCACCTCTTGTCCTAGCAGGAACCTTGCACATCTGACCCACACCCATTCTGGTTCCTACTGTTGAGTGTTACAGACCAGCCATACTTGCTTCATTCCCAGACACAGCTCTCACGTGGTTCAGAGGAAGCCAAGATCTAGGCCAGCCACTTCTACACCCACCCTGCCTCTCACAAATACCAGGGGGAGATTACCCCAGTCTGGTACTCTTCAGACTCAGTCCACACCCATGCCAAGAAAGACTGCAGCCATGTCCAACCCAACCCACTGCCCCCCATTCCGGCTCTCACACTTACTTACCAGTGAGAACCTCAATCTAGTCGGTGCACCCCCTTAACTCCCCAACCAGGCCTGTTCCCAACCACAGAGGCCGGCAGAGATTCCAGCACAGGGGTCAGCCCACATACCACCCCAACCTCCACACCTCACAGCTTCAACCTCCAGGCCTGATTCTCTTGAGTTCTGATTAGGATCGTGGACCAGCCTAACATTACCCCTCCCCTGTTCTGACTCACTGATGGGTACTGTGATCTAGCCCTGTCAGGTAGTGCCTCAGCCAGTGGTGTTGTCCGGTGGTGATTGATGCTAACTACCCCAGTTAAGGTCTCCCATGTGTGCTGGGGCTTCGGTGTGACTCTTCAAGGTCCTCTCGTTCCTTCCTCAAAACCACTGAATCTCAGCCACATTGTTTATCTGCAGTTACAGTGGCTTGGATCTCTTGGTGTCTTGGTTTTGCATCAGAAACGTATCAAAATGAATGCACTTCTGTTTGTGTTGAAAGTAAGGTGTGGTGATCGAAGTAAAATCTTCAAGGCAGAAACTGGCACGTGGTAAACACGGTGCTCAGAGAACCTTGGTTACTATTTATCGTTAATGGTGGTTTTTAAAGTTTCTTTGGCTTTTTCAGAATCCTTAAATGGTGGTATTCTTTCTCAGAGTGAATCCTAACTTGTTTTTTGACACTTTCTATTGTTCTAGATAAGGCAAGACATTTTCTTCGAGCCCGCTTCCCTTTAACTCATACTGGCAGATCTATAATGAAGACCCAGCAGGTGAGTGTTTCTGGCAGGAGGATGAACACCTCTGCATCTGTTCTCAGGAGGAGCTGGTGCCCTCCGTGCTACTCTGTCGCAGAAGCTTCACATTCCGCAACAAATGAGAAAAGACAACCTCTGTCTCGCTTCTTCATGCTGCAGAAGAACTCTCTTTGCTTCCTATCTAGATATTTCTCTTTTTATTGCTCCCAGTTTGACTCAAACACTTTGATCTGCAAGCACCTCTGTGAACACGTGACCCATTCTGCAGAGGGGAAACCCACATTTATTCTGATTTTCTTGAGTTAAAATCTTTACTTTTCAGTGACATCTTAGCCTTATGTATGTGTAAGTTGTCATTTTGACACTGAAAATCCGAGCAACCTAGTAAGCATTTTAAAAACAATACTATAGATTTTGGATGGATCCTGCTTTGTGATAGGCTGGGCTGAAAAAAAAGATCTTCATAAGCCCAACCATACTTTCTTAGAATTGCCTAAAAAATAGACACAAGAAGTGAAATTGAAGCCAGATCCCATGGTCACATTGTGTTGCACAAGTCGGAGTCCAGGTGGGCTGCCAACCCTCCTGTGTTAAGCTGCTTTGATGATCCACCCACCTATCAAGCTGAATGAAAACAAGCATGGATTGCTTCAAGCAATGCTGTACATCCTGTCAACTTACACCAAGAGCATTTATTTTGCTTTCTTAATTAACTTCCTCCTAACATTTCTTTCTCTCTTTCCACACTGCAGATCTGTTCACTAGCTCCCTGATTACCCTAAGCAAGACTAACGCGAGAGCTCTTTTTCCTCTTTGCACTAAAGGTACAAGATCCTGAACATAATATCCACAAAGTGTCTGGATCTTGGATGGGTGGAACCTTGGGTGTGTGGCATTTTGTCTTGACTTCTGCAGAAAGAAGAGAGGCGGTGGAGAGATTTATGGAGGCTAATAACAATAACATAATGAATAATGATTTAGTCTGTTTTTTCATACACATTCTGCATAACACAATCACTCTTCTCTTGGACTGCTGCCATCAGCAATGTAATTTCGTTCTTAAAGTTTCTTTTCTCCCGTCTTAGTTCCTGGTAGAAATGGCCAGAGTTGGACCCAAGTAAAAATTAACTCTGGCAGTTTAGATAACAAGAGATTTCACTTTGTCCTGAGGGCTTAAAATGAGGCTTCTCTCGAGTTCATCAATTGTAAATACATTGAGGGTTTTATGCTTTAACTGAATACTTTGTGTTGTATAACAAGTCGTAGAATTCTAGATCTGAAACGATTTTAAAGTTAAAATCAAAAAGCAGTCCAAAGTTTCTCAAACTGTTACAAGTTGGCTCACAGCCCCATGCATTCTGATTTAATTGTAAGTGATGTCATATGGTCCTTGGGACATTTCGAAGTTGGTAGTTGTAGCATGTACAATGTTTGGAAACAGATGCTATAATGCCAGTGCCTATCTTTTCTTAAGGCATATAAACACTTAGTTCAGGATTTGACAAGGACTCGTTTGTTCCTCAGACCAGTTCGTTTAACATTATTCCAATGTTATGGCTCTTCTGATTGAGATAACACTGAATAACAGTAAGTGAAAATATTGGAGAAGTGTTTAAATAAAGCTTTATTAAACTAAACTAAATGAGCACTGAAGAACACTAAATGAGCACTGAAGAATTCAGGCTAAGATGGGACATCATAATACAAAGTTTAGTGAAAGTGCATTTTTTCATTATTATATGACATAAATGTTTTTTATATTTGATATCAATAAAATAGTAGAGAGTTGAGAGTGAGGCTTTACAGATCGAATATGCAAGTTTTTAAATTGGATTATGGAATGATGGATAGGAGAGAGAGAGAGAGAGACAGAGAGAGAGGACTGTGCTCGTGTGATACTGAGAACCAGGAGCTTCTTCCAGTTCTCCCACATGGATGTGAAGGCACAGGATTGGTGCCATCCTCTGCTGCTTTTCCAGACCATTAGCAAGGAGCCAGATCAAGTGTGAAGCAGCCGGAAGTGGGAACCATGCCCACATGGGACGTTGGTGCCACAAGCAGAGAATTAGCCTGCTCTTGCAGGCCCCTGTTAATATTTTGTCAGCTGGAAAGAAAATCACCCTCACTGAGGTATCATGGTTACAATTAGTCCGTTCTGTTGACTAGGAAATAATTCTTTTAAAATGCTTGAGCATTTAGCATACCCGGAACAGTTAAGAGGAAAGGCATAATTGTGTGACACAAAAGGAAATTACTGTAAAGTCATTTGATGGCTCTTGGTCTCGGTATTATCATTAATTCTTGACTGTCTGACCTCACTGTTGAACACAGGAAGTATACAGTTGGCCTTAATTGTCCTTGCATTCACTACATTATGTCAACATCTCCTGGGCTGTCATCAATTCTCTTAGTATACTCCTTTTTTTTTTAAACTATTTTTATCAATAGCAGCAAGATACCTTTCATAGTATTAATGTAAAGTTACAATCTTGGCTATAAGTTGACAAAGTAAATTGATATCCATATTGCTGCTCTCAGTCTTAACTAATTTTGTCTACATAGTAAAGGATGTATAATTTGTAAAGTTTTTCTGGATTTTCTGTAATGTAGTTCATTTATAATATGTTCTATCAGAAATGTATCCTGGGGCTGATAAAATGTGATGATTGCTTTATGTCCTTTAAATATGGTGTCATTTGTTACACTGCAAAAGTAACTGGAAATAAGTTACCACATTGTTTCGCTTGAGCAAAATGTTGCTTTTGCAACTTCTTTTCCCATGTAATCAGGAAGCTGCTCGTCAAGGCACTTCACATTTGGACACTTTAACCAGTGTTAAGGCTCAACTTCGCTTAGGTTGGGCTCCTGGTAATATTATACACAGTTTAACAAAGCAATTGGTCCAAGTGATAGCACACGGCCGAGCCAGCACCAGGCTGGGTCCATTCCTGGATGTTTATTAATTGTGTGTGGATGGAAGCCTGGCCTGTTAGGGCAGCAAGTAGCCACTCTGTAGCGTGGAGAACGAAGCCACACAAGGAGCCTAGAGAGAGGCTGAAAGAGGATGAGACCTGACTGTGCCAGGACCAAGTTCTTCCATGAGCCCCATGTCCTGCAGCCTTTCCTTCATTTTGGCGAATCTTGCTGGTGTTCTTGAAGGAAATGATTCCAAATCCTAGGTGAACTCAGATTTCTCCGATTGTACTCTGTAAGAAACTTAACAAGGAGCTCAAGTTTCTCTCCCTGATCATCAGGAGTTATCAAAAATGCATGATTTTGAGAGTCATGTGTGGGCCAAAGGGAGATATCAGGGCACATGGAAGGAAAAACTTTAAAGAGGACAGGTTAAAATCTGGTCCAGATGGATGACAAAAGAGTACAATTCGCTGACAAGTCTTTTCCAGCGACAAAATGGATCCCTTCTCGGCTAGTGTTCACCAGGATGTCAGACATTGTACTGACAGCTGCTCAGAGTCTGTTGTCCAAATCACACCCAATACACTATTGATTTCTCCCAATTTTGGAGATGTGATAGAGTTAACATCATTGGTTTAATATCAGACTTCCTTTCTTTTTTAAAAGATGTATTTATTTTTATTGGAAAGTCAGATATACAGAAAGGAGGAGAGACAGAAAGATCCTCTGTCCACTGGTTCCTTCCCCAGAAGTGGACCCAGTGGCTGAAGCTGAGCCGATCCAAATCCAGGAGCCAGGAACTTCTTCTGGGTCTCCCACGCGGGTGCAGGGTCTCAAGGCTTTGGGTGGTCTTCCACTGCTTTCCCAGGCCACAAGTAGGGAGATGGGAGGGAAGTGGAACAGCTGGGACACAAAATGGTGCTCATATGGGATTCTAGAGCATGCAAGATGAGGACTTGAGTCACGAGGCTACCATGCTGGCCAAGTATCAGCTTTCAATTTAATGAGAATAGCACAGAAAAAAGAGTGCAATAATTGGATAATCAATACCTGAGCTGAAAACGTTAAATACTATTAAATTCCTAAGATTTGCTTGATTAGAAATAAAAGCATAACGAAAAATCTTGTTACCTTGAAGAATCCATCGAAAGGCAATAGAACTTCAGCCAAAAAAAAAAAATATGATGATGTAAATCTGATGACAATAATTTTTTTGTGTTACTTTTGGAAATAAAACGAATCTTCATGAATATTACATGGACCCTGGACATTGTTTATCATTTGGATGATACTTTGAAATTTGTCTCACCACAGGCGTCTTAGCTAATAGGATGACATTTCTGGGAGAAGAGAATCACTTGAGATGTTCATTACAGAGAGTGTAGCATGGGGATTCTGTTACAGATAAAGGTAATTTGGGAAGGCATCTGAAAAAATGGAGCTGCTAGGTCTGGTGTTGTGGTGTAGCACAGAAAGCTTCTGACTGTGGCGGCTGCCTCCCAGAGGAGTGCAGGTTGTGCTCTCAGTTCTTCTTCTGCTCCAGCTCTGTGCTGATAGCCTGGAAAAATCCGCGGATGGCCCGCACGCACCTGCAGGGGAGACCTGGAAGACTTTTCCTTGCTGCTGGCTTTGTCGTGGCCTCACCTTGACTGTTGCAGCCATCTGAGGCTCAAGCAAGTGTATGGAAGGTTTCTCTCTCTGTGTCTCTGTAATTCCGACCTTCAAATAAAGAGATAAATCTTTAAAAACCAAGTTGTTAAATGTGGAAAAGTTCAAAAATTTTAGCAAGCTGTGTCATTTTTGTCTTGCTATGTTATTGATAGCTGCCCTTCAGAGAAATCTTAGCTTGAGTTTTACCCACTTCCCAGGAATTTCTAACTGTTCTCTTATTTTTTACTCACTGTTCTCATTTTTTGCTTTTTTCACATGCATACTTGTATCTCTAATTGAATAAAACTTTAATAAAATTTAATTCAGAGGCTAAATTATAGGAGCTCATTCACTGCCACCACTTACTTTGTAAATAAAGAAATGAGAATCAGACTGGCACAGTGGTACCGCAGACTAATCCTTAACCCTGTAATGCTGGTGTCCCACAC